CTTGCTGGGCCTGGCGGGGCTGGAGATTGTCTGCTCTCTGGGGAGGTAGGGGGCAATTATTTTCTGGACAGGCTGGAAAAATTGAGGCTGAAGTTGTCTTCCTCATGGAACATTTTCACTGAGGTGTGAACAGCAGACAGAGAGTTAGCCCTCATTTGTGTTGGCTGCAGGGGAGGGACATTTGGCCTCCTTCATCCTCTACAGCCACCCAGGACTCCAGGGCAGCCTGTCTCAACGTCCCAGCACCACAAAATCCCGGGGGAGCTCTAAAGATCTCAATGCCTGGGCTGCCTGAGCAATTTCAGCCAGTGATTCCAGTGACCAGCTCAGGCCAAGCCGTTAGTACACTGTGAGAATTAAAAACCAAACAATAGAACTTGGGCTCCTGCCACCACAGGAAAGAGGGAGTGTGTCGTTGGCTCAGTTCTGCTGGGCCCCCAAGAGTTTTGCCCTTGGACAGGATCCTGGGGAGAGTAGAAATGATCCGGCCCATCTCAAAGAAGCAAGCTCAGGCCAAGGTTGGGAGGAAGGTCCATGAGCACCGATCAGTGCTAGTGTCCATCAGTCTGTCCAGAGTAGGGTAGTGGAAGGGTTGAAAGGATCACAGGGAAGCTGAGATGCTCACCCTGGAAGGGAAACAGATCTTGCGCACCACTGGGACTGGCAGTAGGTCTTGTCCCCGGTCCTCAAAAAGGCCTAGAGTCAGGGGAGTGTGCCGGACAGCAGTGAGAAGCAGGCTTGGCCTCAGGATCCTCAGGTTCTCTCCCATTCCAGCTCCAGTTCTCTCTCATGGCTCACAGCTTCCTAGGAAAAGGACAGATTTGTCATTTCTGAGTCCCCCATCTAGGGCTTCCCTAACCTTAGTTCCACCAAGGATCACCCTTACAGGTAGGTTCATACACCTTGGGCAGCCCTGAGCAAGTAGCCAGGCCTTTTATAGCCAATGCATGGAAATTGGAAATCTCAAGTTACACCAAAAGCCAGTTAGGGGGTTCATTTCATTACCCAAGGGTCTTTTGCTGCTCGCAAATGTAATCTCCAGTGGGAGGTGATACAAGGGTGTTTGAAACATCATTCCATGTGTGAAAGTTCAACAGATACTTGTTTTTTTAGGAAGGGGATAGGGCTGGAGTGGTCTCCGGATGGCTGAGTACAGTTGTACAGAGTTTACGCTATACAAGGATACAGTGCCATACAAAGGGGGTAGGCGATTCGTAGACTTATGCATGTCTTTGCATGTTCTTTGTAGTTTTCTAGCAGTTGTCAGTCAAGTATCTTACTCTAACAAAATCAGTATATTATGACAATTTTCCAGTAGCTGGTAGTCAGGTTCTCCAGGAAGGGGTGCTATTTTCTTAGTACACAAAGTGCTGCCTGGGCTAGTGTTGACCTTGACTGTGACCAGGAAGGGAAAGGTGGGAGAACAAGAGGAGTTGGATCAATGAGACCCAGGAGTCACCACAGCATCCCAGAACAGGACAGGCAGTGTCTGCCTTCCAAGATCATCCTAAGGAATTCCACACCTCAGGGCAGCTGCATTCCTGGATCCGGCTGGGATGAGGTCTGTAGGTGAGCCAAACTGTCTCAGAAGTGGAGAGCAGAGGGAAGTGGAGTGGGCAGGGAGCAGACCTGGAGAGGAGAAGCCGAGGAAGAACAGGTGAAAAGAAGGGAGACAAAAGGGAGAATCAGAAGGCCTCATTTCCAAGCCCTACCTCCACCTGCTGTGTGAGTTTGGGCAAGTAACTTGCCCTCTCTAGGAAAACGGAGGAAAACACTTGCGGAGCCCAGAAAAACACTGGGATGTGGATTTGTACATTCCTGGATGATTTTCAAATCTCCATAAATTTCAAATCTATCATTCTGTTGCTTAGACCCTGCAATGACTCCCCAGCACCACATGGGAAGTCCAGCCTCATTAGCCGGTCATTCAAGCCAGCCTGACCTACCTTCCACCACGTCTCCAAGTTCACTTCCAGGCCTCTCCGCTACCTCCATCCTTGCAACCGCAGTTAACTGCTTGCATAGACTACTTCCTTGTTCTGGGCCATCCCATGTGCCTGGAATACCTTCCCACACCCCCATCCTCAGTCTGACTGACTTCTGCTCCTCTTCCACACCTCCACCAGGTTCCCTGAGATCCCCAAGCTAACAGAGTGAATTAGCTGCCTCTCCTCTGTGCTTCTCTTCCATAGTAATCCAGTGGTTCTTAAACTCCAGCGTGCATCAGTCATCTGGTGGACCATGCACAATACACACTGCTGGGCCACAGCCCCGTTTCTTATTCAGCAGGTGCAGGGTGAGCCCAAGAATCTGCATTCCTGAAAGCTCCTAGGAGGAACCACACATTCAGATACCCTCTCTCTGCTCCTTTGTCTCGGTGCCCCAGCCTACACACTGCCCGGGACCCTCCCAAATGTCCCATACAGGCCTGGGCACTGGTCATAAGGTCTGACATGTCTTTGTTACTAGAATCACACAGGACGCTTCCACATTCAGCCTCTCATTTAAGTCCTAAATAACCATGGGTTGAAGGCAGGGCCGATGTTATAGAGAGAAACTGAAACTCCCACTGACTAACTTGCCAGAATGGAGAAACCAGTGCTAACCTCTGTGACTTCTGACTCCCACTCCAGTGCTCCTACCACCCTCACAGGCTGTGTCACTGAGTTGGAACATCAGGACACTGGTGACAGACAACCTGGATTGGGATCCTGGCTCTGCCACCTACCAACTGTGTGACTTTGGGCATATTACTTAACCTCTCTGTGCCATGGTGCTGGGCACATAAGTACTATGTAAACTGTAGCTATTATTATTACACTCACATTGTAATGGGGGAAATTCCACAGAAACTCAAAGAAAAGGATCTCTTATGGTGGAAACTTGCGGCATCTCACAGACTTGGTAGGAATTAGGAGGATTTGGGGGCAAGATGGGGTCCTCCTTCTCCACTTGTAGCCTGTAGGCAGCCTCTCAATTTCTTAGTCTGTCTCTTCACTTTGAGGCCAGTGACACAATCCAGAGTCAGATGACCACTGAACTCTTACTGGAGGAGAGCCCAGGCTAGCAGAGGAAAGCTAGGCTGATACATACACCCACCCACGCTCCAGGAGAAGAGCAAGTCTGGCATCACTGCTGGTCCTAGAATGAAAGGGGCCTGGAGCAGACTTAACCCAGCCTGCAGCCTAAATACAGCTATCCCAGCCAACACGTAGCCCCATGAAAGAGAAACACAAATGTTTGTCCTTGGAATCCACTGAGATTTGGGGGATTGTTTGTTATGCAACATTATAATAGCAGCAATAACTGACTAATACAATTTGCATCAGAGTATGAATTTCGACCTCTGATTAAAAAGCAACACTAATTAGTGTGTGGGACATCTATACTTTAGCTTTTGTTCTAGCCTCTCTCTGCTTGTCAGCAGGGATGTCAGCTGGGGGCTGGAAGTTTGCACAGGACTAGCCCATGGATGTGACAGTAGTTGTAGTTTGGGAGGAAATGAGCAGATTTCTCCTCTTCCTGAATCACTCCCCGCTTCTCTATCCCTAACATTTTTGAGCTTCTCTTTTCTACCCCTTACCCCAGCCTTTGGAATTGCTTAAGACCATCAGTTGGTAAATTGCCACCTCCAGGCAGGCTCATCATCTGTTCTGTGAAGGAACGCAGCAGACAACCACCTGCCTGGTGCAGGAGGTGTGACCCAAGGACAACAGTGCTTCCCACAGTTTATGAATGTTGTCTTGTTTGTTTCTATCACAGCCTGTTTCTTTGTAAAGCACCTTCATTCCCAGAAGGTTTGTCGACCAAAGTGGCTCTTGCTGAATTTTACAGTTCCTGCTTCTCTGCTGCAGTGGGAAGAGAGCTGGCCCTGGAATCAAGGAACTGGAGCCTGGGCTTGGCTTCCAGATAGTGCTCCTAGCCCCAGGGAGGCTCCCCACACCCACTGCAGACCTGCCTGGCTTCCCATGGCCGAACTTGACCATGAGCTCCTAGAGACAGAGATAAGGACACTCAAAGGTCAGGAAAGCATTGGGGCTGGAGACCAAGAATGAGTGAGAAGAATCCCAGGTTGGGATTGTTGATCCCATGACCCCAGGGGCCTCTAGCTGCCATCCTGTATGGTCCCTTACCTACCTGTCATCCAGAAAGAACATGTGGTTTGTTCCACTTCCCGCAGCAGCTCTGAGAATCTCCTCCTACCATACTGCTTCCCACCACTCACCAAGTGCATTGCTTAGACTTCGAGGTGGGTCTTTGGCCACCAGGTGAGCCTCTGACCCTTGTCTGTCTGATAAATCCCTGTGCTCATCCAGGGACCCCACTTGGGACAAGAACAACCAGGAAGGATGTTGCTCAGAATGATTAGAGGTTTTTCTGACCAACAAAGACTTGAAGCAAATTAAATAGCAGTGTGGGTCTGTTCCATTCAGAGAATACTGTGTTGCCCAGGCCAGACTCCAACTCCCGGGCTCAAGCAATCCTCCTGCCTCAGCCTCCCAAATAGCTGGGACTACAGGCACATGCCACCATGCCTGGCCAATTCAGAAAATACATTGATAACCCAATGAAATAATTGTAAATAATACCTGGCTTGGTTTGAATTTGAGGCTGTCATTTGAATTTGTGAGTGTGTTTGTATACCTGCATGATTAAATTAATTAATTATGATGACTCAGTAAAAAATTAAATTATGATGACTCAGTAAATTAAATTATGATGATGATTTAATTTAAATTAAATTAAAATTAATTAAATTAAAATATGATGACTCAGTAAAATTAATTAAATATGATGACTCAGTAAAAAAACTAAATATTAATTTAAATATGATGACTCAGTAAAAAAATTAAATATTTTTAATTAAAATATGATGACTCAGTAAAAAAAAATTAAAACTTGGTTTAGGTGAGGCTTAGAGCCACCGTGACTGGCCTGTCTAGTTTTGTTTTTAAGTAGCATCTCTTCAGAAGCAGAGAGGCACCCAGCTAACCTCTGGGAATTATGTAAACATAACATCTACTTATTGTGAGCTATTACACATGCTGCATTCTATGAGGCAATTTACATCATTGATCACATTAAACTCTCACAACTTTGTGAAATGATATCATCCCCATTTTACAGGAAATGGAGGCTCAGGGAGAGCAAGTGTCCCAACCATGATCCCTGAGTGGAGTTGTGGCAGAGCAGGAATTTTATGTCGGATGTGTCTGTTCCAAAGCCCAATCTCCCACCCCTCCACTACTTCCCTACTCTCCCCTCCATTCCTCAGAATCTCCCTGAGCACAGTTCCCAAAGCTGCTCCTCTCCGTGGGATTTAAGGAACGTTAGTCATGCTCACTGCACTTTGGCGCTTGGTTTTTTGGATCGCGGATGTCTTGGGAAACCTTTTCTGGTGCCACTTGTCTTTTGCTTGTTCTTCTTGAAGACCTTATTCACCCAGTTTGAGTCTTCAGCAGGGCTCTCCCTAGGCAAAGAGATTAAGTGGTTCATTATGGGCCTGGCCTGGGCCCTCCAACATCCGGGCCTGCTCAGCTCCGCAAGTGGGCACAACCGTGCTGTGGTTCTCAACCCTGGCTGAGCATTGGATTTCCCAGCAAACTTTTAAAAATATAATCAATGAATATTTATCTAAGTAACATCATGTCCATGAGTCAACTGAAACTCAGACTTTTATACAGTTATATGTAAATGCAAAAAGGTTTAAATTATGTGAACAAAATGCGTAACTTATGCCTAAGCTCAAAATTGTTAAATTCATACAAACTCTTTCAAAAAGTTTTATGGTTAAAATTATACTTAATGTGGGAAGCAGGTAAATTTTAATACGCTTGATGTGAGAGAGAGTGCAAACATTAAAAGCAAGAATGCCTCGGGCCCTGCTCTCTCAATACCTGCAGCTGTGGTCATGGAGAAACCCAGCCACTGCCAGAGTGGTCCCAAGGCAGGGAGGGATGAGAGGAGGGCTGGGGTTGTGGGGAGAAATACCCTCGACCCAATTTCTGATCTCCTGCGGTGCCTCCCCCACTGCCAGTACAAACGGCATTCAGCCAGCAAGGGAGCCTGGGTAATGTGGTCCTCAGGGATGTCTTAAAAAAATGCAGATCCCCAGGCCCTCTCATAGTTATTGCAAAGATACAATGGAGTGTATGTTGCACAACCCAGACACTTGATGTGCATAATAAAAAAGATTTTCTGGGGACAGTCTACAGTCTAGGACTATCAGGTCATTATGAGGCTAATAGAAAATAGTTCGAGTAAGGAAGGCCTTTGATAGAGATCCTTAATTCATGCCATGCAGGAGCTGCCTAAGGCTGGGAGGTAGGATGCCTGCAGGCCTTCTTGAACGGTGGCATCACCGGAGAATAAAATACGAGAGCAGGGGATGCGCATTCTCACACTGCACTCAGAGAAGGAGCATTCCCAGTGTGCAGGAGAAGAGAATGACATCAACACGGACAGCCTCCTTCCCCACACACTGCCCTCACTGAACAAGAGAAGGCGGCTTTGTGAGACGTAAAGGGGTGGACCTGTAATCACACAATCACACACACCAGAAAAGGATCCCAGGGTTCCTGGGGCAGCTAAGGTGGTGGAAGATGTGGCTTAGCCGGGCTCCCTTCTCCCGCCCAAAGGAAAGAGCGTGCTCCACGAGGGAGAAACTTACATGACATAAGGCTTGCTGACAGTTTCCTTCACATGAACCAGAGGCACCGCGCTTTTTGGATTTGAAGAGACAAGAGGAGCTACAGCTAAAAGTAAAAATATAGGAAACGAGAGGGAGATGGGGAGGAGGGATATGGAGTCATTTTTGAAACAACAATAGTAAGTAAATGAGAAGGTTTAAAAACAGCAAAGAACTCTCTTGTCCTCAAATTCTCATCTTTACAACCAGAGTCATGCTGTGGGACTTGACTGAGATGCAGGCCTGCGGCATCTGTGGAGGGGCTGACTCGGACCCTTGGTGGAACATTAGAAACAACTCCCAGGGAAGGTGCAGTGGCTCACACCTGTAATCCGGCACTTTGGGAGGCAAAGATGGGTGGATCACTTGAGGCCAGGAGTTCGAGACCAGCCTGGCCAACATGGTGAAACCCTGTCTCTACTAAAAATACAAAAATTAGCTGGGTGTGGTGGTGCATGCTTGTAATCCCAGCTACGTGGGAGGCTGAGGCAGGGGAATCACCTGAGCCCCAAAGGTTGAGAGTGTAGTGAGCTGGGAGTGGGATACTGTCTCAAAAAAAAAAGAAGGAAAAGAAAAAAATAGCGCCCTCACAGAAAGCAGTGTGTTAGGGAAGGTTTTCAGGAAAATCCCCTGGAGGGGGCTGGACTTTCCATCACATGCTTCATGTAATGCTTTTTGCTTGTTTCTTGGAACAGAGTATTAATAGTTTCACAACCGTTGCTCTTAAGTGAGCTCTTTGCATGTTTCTAATGAGTATGGGGGTACATAATATATGAAGGTTAATATGTAATTATGTATTATGTATAAATAAAAGTAATATAAAGTATATGTAGGTTCCTCTGAAGTTATTTTATTAGAGGCCTGTTGTATGTCCCTAACTCTCCCAAATCTATTCACAATGAGGCTTGTCCTTCTGTTTTTGGATTTTCCTAGGGCTTTTAACAATTTTCCTGTTCCCCAACGCCACCAATGGCCATTAAATGACTGATACTACTAAACTCTAGGGCATGGGTGTCCAGTCTTTCGGCTTCCCTGGGTCACACTGGAAGAAGAATTGTCCTGGGCCACACAGAAGATACATTAACAGTAATGATAGCTGATGAGCTAAAAAAAAAAACCAAAAAAAATCTCACAATGTTTTAAGAAAGTTTATGAATTTTTTATAGACTGGTGCATTCAGAGCCGTCCTGGGCCGCGTGTTGGATACGCTTGCTCTAGGGCGTCTCACCTCTGCCTAACTCGCACAGATGGCCTAGGATGTCACCGTGGCGGCTCAGTTGTAGGCTATAACATGGTTTCTCAATCTCAGTACATGCTATTGACACTAAGAGTTAGCGCTTTTTACAGAGGCTATTCTGTGAATTACAGGGTATTTTTCAGTGTCCCCAGCCTCTAACCACTAGGTGACAACCAAATGTCTGCAGACATTGCTAAATGTCTCCTTGAGACGAAATCACTTCCAGTGGAGAATCACTAGACTATATATGCCCTCTATCCACCCCCAATATGAGTGAGGATGCCAACTTGGGGCCCAGGATTGCTCAGGTACCTGAAGATGGCCACCTTCATGCACAGGTATGATTAATGTAAAACAAATGTTTTGCATTCAACAGGAAATAAGAGAGCAGGTAAAACACTGTGACCAATTTTCTGACTCTTTTTTTTTTTTTTTTCTAAGATGGAGTCTCACTCTGTTGCCCAGGCTGGAGTGCAGTGGCAAGATCTCTACTCACTGCCACCTCTGTCTTCCTGGTTCAAGTGATTCTCCTGCCTCAGCCTCTTGAGTAGCTGGGACTGCAGGTACCTGCCACCATGCCCGATTAATTTTTTGTTTTTTAGTAGAGATGGGGTTTCACCACGTTGGCTAGGCTGGTCTCAAACTCCTGACTGAAAGTGATTTGCCCGCCTCTGCCTCTCAAAGGCATGAGCCACAGCCTAATTTTCTTAATGGCCTTTTGTTTCTGTCTCATTAAAAGAGTCAAAGTAAACCTGTTCCAAAGAAAGGACATCTCTGCCAACTTGGGGCTAATTCCCAGAGGAGGAGACATTGCCGATCTATGACGTTTACTATAATAGCTCTGGAAGTTTGGCTGAGGACCATGAGCACCCTACAATCTGGCTTCAGTCCCTCATCTGGGTCTCTGTCCCTCTGTCCCCACCCAGACCATCCATGGTGGCCACACACATGTCCTCTCCTTACTAAAGTACCTTGAAAGTACCCTGCACATCCCTGCACTGCAACTGAGTGTCTTAAATAAACAAAATCGGAAATGCTCTTTCTACTCCATCCCATATATCCCACAAACCATGATGTTCAAAATCCTGCCCATTTAAACTCACCTGTCACCTCCAAGAAGCTTTTCATACTCCCTCAGAGAGAAGTGGTCTTATTCTCTATGAATACCCTCCAACACTGTGTTTTTGTTAGTTATATAGTACTTAATACTTCCTTTTTTTTTTTTTTTTTAATGGAGTTTCACTCTTGTTGGCCAGGCTGGAGTGCAATGGAGCAATCTTGGCTCCCTGCAACCTCCAGCTCCTGGATTCAAGTGATTATCCTACTTCAGCCTCCCAAGTAGCTGGGATTACAGGTATGCACCACCATGCCTGGTTAATTTTTGTATTTAGTAGAGATGGGGTTTCACCAAGTTGATCAGGCTGGTCTTGAACTCCTGTCCTCAGGTGATCCACTCACCTTGGCCTTCCAAAGTGCTGGGATTACATTTGTGAGTAACCACACCCAGGCCCTGACTGTATTTTTGAGGTTAGTATCTGTGTTATCTCCTCTGCTGAAAGGGAGATTTCCTGAGTAAGAAATTGAGAACAGTTTATCTTTGCAGCCTATATAGTGGTGCTTCTGAAATCATCTGTAGTAGTAAGGAACTAGTTTTTAAAAAATTTCTTTGTAGTCTAACAAACTGGTACTTTTGTGAAATACAATGCAAATGAATCAGTAAAAAATGGTCAAGCTCCAGGATGTTGTGGCAATACCTTAGTGCTACAAACATTTCTAAATGATTACTCTTAATTTCTGCATTCACTCCATGGTGGGCTAGTAACACACAGTTGAGGGTTGGATTGGTCTGCGGACCACTCTTTGAGTAGCATTGCCCAGCACAGCAGGTTTCACAATAAAAATCTACTGGTCCAGCGGTCTCAAATGTGAGCAGGCAAAAAAATCACCTGGAGAGCTTGTAAAAAAGACAGGTGGGCCCCACCTCCAAAGTTGGTGATTTAGTAGGTCTGCAATAGGACCTGAGGATTATAATTTCTAACAAGTTCCCAGGTGATGCTTTTGCTGCTGGTCGGGGGACCACACTTTGAGAAGCACTGCACCAAGGGAATGAACCAATGTCCTTTATACTGCCCCCTTGTGGCAGACTGTCCTCATAATGGACAGAGAGGCTAAAGCTCACTGCTAACTTCATCCATGCACCCCTAAAGAAGCAGTTATCAGCCCTGGTGTCCTTGCTCTCTTGCCGAGGGGCTCCAGGAATGAGAAAGCCGTAAGAAGCCAGAAGGGTCCATACCTTGGGGCTGTTCTGGGCCTAGTTCCTCCACAGGTGGCTGAGCAGGGAAGGCTGAAAAAGAACCTCGGGGTGGTGTTTGAGGTGCCCCCACAGTTGAAGGCCCCAGGGATGGCCTGGGTGAAGTGAGTGCCTGAGAGTGTGGGGATCTGGGTGGTGATCCAGACGGCTGTACCTGCTGCTGAGGTGACACAGGTGACAGTCCAGGTGGTGTGGTGGGCAGTGATGAGCCAGGTGTGGAGCTGGGTGGCTTGTGCACAGCTGGGAATGATACAGGTGGCATGTTAGTTGGAGAAAGTGGCGTTGAAGAGGCCAGTGGCTGCGCAGGTGGCTGCTCAAGTGGAGAGACTGGTGCTGAAACAGGTGACTCGCATGTGGATTCAAGTGTCTGCACAGGTGGGGACACAGGCGAACTGTGGCCGCCCCTTCCATCCCCTTTGGGAACCCACTCCGTGTGAGGTCGTGGGGCTCCTTCCAGACTGGCCTGCTGTGCTTGAAGGCTTGGTTGACTGCGTTCAGGGCACTCATTGCCGAGGGCGAGTTCTATCTGACAGTACACTTCCACCCGGGGGAAAATCACTCTCTTGGAGGGAGAATTAAGATAAACAGCATCTAGGAGAAACAACAGCATGGGGTGTTACTCAGCCCAAGCAGCAGCATAGCTTTTGCGAAAATGGTTTCTTGAGTTATTTTCCTAAACAGGATCAGTGCTTTTCAAAGGTCTTTCTGTACTTACTTGAATTTATAGTGAGTGAAAACAAACGTGATGGTTCCTGGCACTTACGGTGTAGTGTGGGGGAGCAGGCGTTGCCCACCATCTAGAGTTTCAGCAAAGGCAAGGGCAGGAAGAGAGGAGTGTGGTGCTGTGAGAGACGGCAGGTCATCTGAGGGACTGGCAGTGAGCAGAGATCTGAAGGGCATGTGGCCCAGGATGGTCAGAGCGGGGTGGTGAGGGTGTTTCAGCAGAGGGAACAGCACACACAAAGGCCACAAAGTTTGAGGACACTCCAGGTGGTGGGGGGCCTGAAAGGTCAGTGTGGGGTGAGGGGACCGTGCTGGGGGAGGAGGCTGAGGAGGCAGCAGGGGCCAGACCATGTCAGGGCTGTAGGCAGCAGCTAAGATCTTTGGTTTTCATGGCAAGCATTATTGTAGCACGACTGTTAGGCAGGGGAGACAACCAGCTGAGGCTGGTTCTGAGAAGGTCACTGTGGTTGTAAGACTCATTGAGAAAGGTAAAAGGGTTGCTGGAGTCTGAAGTTGAAGCTTCAGTGAGCCATGATTGTGCCACTACACTCCAGCTTGGGTGACAGAGTGAGACCCTATCTCAAAAAGGATGGGTGGGGGAGGGGCATTTATCTAGACCATACAACCGCCCTTAAATAAGAAAACAAACAATTCAGTTTTCAAAATGTGTAAAAGAGCCAACTGAAAGGGCTCTCGATGGCCAAAGCTAGAACAATTTGAGGAAAAAAATAAAGTAGTATTGAATAATAACCCAAAGTATAACATAACTGTGAGTCCATACTGATATAAACATATGATTACCTAAGTAAGTAAATCAGGGAGAAGAGAGAAAGCTCCCCTGCAGAAGAATTCTAAATAATTTGTGTAGATACTTGACCCTTTAGGGAGTAGAGCATAACTTCTCACTCCTTATGTATGAGCTGTGCACAGTGACTTTCTTCTAAAGACTGCAGTAAGGATAGAGGGAGAAAGAGTACTTTACAATGGAGAAACCCAATGGACGCTACCTCAGTCAGGCAGTCACAGTCAACATCAGCAGGGATACGTCACGTTGGCAGCATGTGCCTGTGAGGTAATGCAATGTGAATGGCACCTTACCTCTGTGGTCTCCTCCCCAGAATTCACAACCCCAGCCCAATCATGAGAAAAACATCAGACAAACCCCAACTGAGGGACATTCTACAAAATACCTGACCAATAGTCAACTCTGTCAAGGTCATCAAGAATAAGAAAAGTCTCTGTAATCCCAGCACTTTGGGAGGCCGAGGCGGGTGGATCACGAGGTCAGGAGATAGAGACCATCCTGGCTAACATGGTGAAACCCCGTCTCTACTAAAAATACAAAAAACTAGCCGGGCTTGGTGGCGGATGCCTGTAGTCCCAGCTACTCGGGAGGCTGAGGCAGGAGAATGACATGAACCCAGGAGGCGGAGCTTGCAGTGAGCTGAGATCACGCCACTGCACTCCAGCCTGGGCGACAGAATGAGACTCTGTCTCAAAAAAAAAAAAAAAAAAAAAGAATAAGAAAAGTCTGAGAAACTGTTATAGGCAAGAGGAACCCTAGGAGATGTGACAACAAAATGTAATATGATCCCTGGGTGAGAGTTCCTGGAACAGAAAAAGGAATTAGGTAAAAACTAAGAAAATCTGAATAAGCAATGGCTCTTACTTAAAAATATATCAAGACTGGTTCATAAGTTGTAACAAAGGTACCGGACTGAATACCATGGTATGTATGTACCATTCTGTAACATCTAACAGATGTGGGACAAACACCCTGTATTATTTTCACAAGTTATCCATAAATCTAAAACTACCCTAAAAACACAAAGCTTATTAAGAGTCTAGGTGAGAAATGTGCAAAAGAGTGGAACGAATGCTTCACCAAAGAAGATCTATGGCAGGCAAATAGGCAAATGAAAAGATGCTCAAAGTCATTAGTCATTAGGGGAATGCAGATTAAAACCACAATATGTTACTGACATGCACCTCTTAGAAGGGCTAGAATGAAAAATTCTGAGCGTTAATTAAAAAGACCAAAAGTTTTGGAGGAATGGGAACGCTCATCCACTGCTGGTAGGAATGAAACATGGTACAACTGCTTTGGGAAACCGTTTGGCAGTTTATTAAAAAGTCAAACATATATTCTGGTTATATATCCAAAAGAATTGAAATAGGATCTGGAAGAGACATGTATACATCCATGGGCACTGTAGCATTATCCACAATAGCCGAAAGATGGAAGCAACCCCAGTGTCCTTTGTCAGATGGATGGACAAAGAAAACGTGGAATATATTTAGCTTTAAAAAGGAAGAAAATCGGCCGGGCACAGGGGCTCACGCTTGTAATCCCAGCACTTTGGGAGGCCAAGGCGGGCGGATCATGAGGTCAGGAGATTGAGACCATCCTGGCCAAATGGTGAAACCCCATCTCTACTAAAAACATAAAAATTAGCTGGGCGTGGTGGCGCGTGCCTGTAGTCTCAGGTACTCAGGAAGCTGAGGCCAGAGAATCGCTTGAACCCAGCAGGCATAGGTTGCAATGAGCCGAGATCGTGCCCCTGCCTGGGCAACAGAGCGAGACTCCGTCTCAAAAAAGGAAGAAAATCCTGTCACATGCTACAGCTGCAACATGGATGAACCTTGAGGCCATTATGTTAGGTGAAATAAGCCAGTCACAAAAAGACAAATACCGCATGATTCCATTTATATGAGGTACCTAGTGTAGTCAAAATCATCAGCACAGAAAGTGGAATGGTGGTTGCTGGGGGCTGGAGGAAGACAAAAGGGGGAGTTGTTGATCAGTGTGTGTAAAGGTTCAATTTTGCAAGATGAAAATGTTCTAGAGATCTGCTGCACAACAATATGAACATAGTTAACACAACTGAACTGCGTGCTTAAAATTTGTTACGTGTTTTTTTTTACCACGATTAAAATATTTGTGGATGTATGTTAAACATGCATGTACCACGCAATCCCATCATTCCATTTCTAGGTATTTACCCAAGAGAAATGAAAGCATATGTCCACACCAAGACTCATGTATGAGTGTTCACAGCAGCTTTATCCATAATAGCCCAAATCTGGAAATGACCTAAATGTCCATCAACAGGGGAATGGGTAAATGGGCTGTGGCCTATGCATACAGTGGTATATTCAACTCTTTTGGTAGGTGAGCTGTGGTACATTCATACAGTGGCACGGAACGTAAAAAGGAACAAACTATTTATACATTCAACAACATGGATGAATCTCAAAATAATTATGCAGAGTGAAAGAATTCAGATTTTAAAAAAAGAGTTCACATTGTAGTGAATTAATCTGTGATGGCAGAAAGCAGATCGGGGTTGCTTGGGAAAGGCAGGGGGTGAGGGAAGGTGGGAGGGATCATGAAAGGGCATGAGGAAATTTTGGGGATGACGAATTATTCACTATCTTAATTGTGGCGATGGTTTCACAGGGGTGTGTGTGTGTGTGTGTGTGTGTGTGTGTGTGTGTGTACAGAGAGGGAGACACTTACCAAACTGTGAGAGGGAAGAAGGGAGTCGGGGAGGAAGGCGGAAAAGAGGTTTGGCCAGGCATGCCTGAATGCCGGATGGATATTTTAGACATGGCATCCTCTGAGCTCCAACCTCACTCAGCACCCACGTTCATACATCTGTGTGGGGAATGCGGATTTTCAAGCACGCCAGCGTGCACTGCCCTTCCCTTTGGCAGAAGGCCGCTGCCAGGATGGGCCGAGTGTAGAGAGAGTGGCTTGCCTGGCAGCAGGAATAATTAATTCTCCTCCCTTGGGAGGGAGGAGAAAGAGGTTGTGAGAACGTGAGCTGAGAAATGGAGGGTGACACCTTTTGGGGTATAGTTTCCTACTGGAGGTGACCCCCCACCCAGAAAGCAGCCTGAGAGAGGCCGGGCGAACTCCCATTTTCTGTTCCCAGATGGCAGGTAGGGATAAGAGTGTGGCTCTGGAGACCAGCTGCAATTTCTCAGTATGTGTCAGTAGTTCCTGTTCACATCTGATGCAGAGAGAAAAATCCACTCCCACCAAATCCAAGAGGACTGAGGTGGTGGAGGTGAAATCTGCGCTGAAAAAGCCTTGCCGTACACTGTCAAATTGGAAGAGGAAGCAAAAATAGTTGGTAGTCAGCACGAGACCATTTCTCCCTTAGGAGTTGTATCTGTTCCTACTTGGAGTGATTCCAGGGCCATTGAAGAAACCTGCCCCCATCCATATACTGGCTCAATTTTGGGGGCGGATTCCTGAAGTGCCACCATCAGGTTTCACCCAGCAGTAGGCTGGACTGACCGTGGCTAGGACTCAGCACGCCTCATGAGAGCTACCATTTATTTGAGCATTGTACTAAGGTCTTGTGGCTTCGCTCCTTTAATCTTCAAAATAAAACCATAAGGTTCCATGATTAGGCCCCTTTTACAGATGAGGAAACTGAGGCCCCAGGAGATTAATTACCTGCTCAAGATCACACAGTTAGTAGGTGTCAGGAGCTAGGATCTAAACCCCCTTTTTCATAGGTTAGGAAACCAAGCCTTAGAGAGGGGAAGCGATTATCCGGAGGTCACACAGCTTATGGGTGAGGTGGGGGCCTAGAGCTACTTGCCTCTAGAGCCCAGGTTTTCTCCATCCTGCTCTCCTATCTGTCCAGCCTGTCCGCCCCCCTTGTTGGGAGAAAGGACCCAGGAGAAAGTAGAGACAGGATAAGGGGAGCTTGGGAAGCAGGAAGGAATTTTGAAGAAGGGAAAAATAAGTGAACACCTCCTAGGAAGAAAATCTCATCCAACCCCTTAATCTCACCCACAGAGTATTTTTTAAAGCTACATACACAAAAAGTTTACCACAGAATTACTCATAATCACAAACATTTGGAAACTCAAAGGAATGATCAAGCAAATTTTTCTGTATAGCTATGACGGAATATTATACAACTGCCAAAAAAGACAGTCACAAAGACGTGTGGCAACAAGGAAAATGCTTCTGATGTAACATTAGGTAAACCCTTTGATCTAGTGATCCCTTTTTCTGAAAATAATTGATTCTAAATATGGCAAAGTTTTTGTTGATTTCTTTCTTTTTTTAAAGACACGGTCTTGCCTGTAATCCCAGCACATTGGGAGGCCGAGACGGGTGGATCATGAGGTCAGGAGATCGAGACCATCCTGGCTAACACGGTGAAATGCCATCTTCACTAAAAAAATACAAAAAACTAGCCGGGCATGGTGGCGGGTGCCTGTAGTCCCAGCTACTTGGGAGGCTGAGGCAGGAGAATGGCATAAACCCAGGAGGCGGAGCTTGCAGTGAGCTGAGATCCGGTCACTGCACTCCAGCCTAGGCAACAGAGCTAGACTCCTTCTCAAAAAAAAAAAAAAAAAAAAAAGACAGGGTCTCACTCCATCGCCCAGAGTGGAGTGCAGTGGTGCAGTCATGGCTCGCTGACGCCTTGACCTCAAGTAGCTGGGGCTATAAGCATGTGCCACCATGCCCAGTTAATTGTTTAATTTCTTGTAGAGATGGGAGTCTCACAATTGCCCAGGCTGGTCTCAAATTCCTGGGCTCAAGTGATCCTCCTGCCTTGGCTTCCTAAAGTGCTGAGGTTACAGGCATGAGCCACCACATCCAGTCCTGTTCATTTCTTGTAACAAAGATGTTTGCCATGGAGTTAGCACATAAAAGACATGTCATTGGAATTGTTTCTTCCACCCTGATAAAGCACAGAGAATATATAGGTGGAGGCACCACCATTCCAAACCTACACAGGGCAAAGGCTCTTCTCTGTGATTTGCTGGTCACTCAGAGTCTTATACAAATATAAACTAGTGACATCCAGTTCTACCTTAATAATGCGATTTTACTGGAAAGAGAATAAAGTGGAAGAGAACGAAATGACATGAAAATGGAATTCTCCAGGGAGATCTGAACTCTGGATTTCCTAAATAGAGTTTTTACATTCATAAACATACATGTACAACTGTCCTAGACACTGTGCCCTTAGTTAACCCCAAAGCCCCCTTTACATGGAGATCCTATTTTCTAGACCCAGCGGTCTGGGCTGGGTGATGCAGCCTGTTAGATCCCCACCCCCATTTCCAGCTCTCCCAGGTGAAGGGCGTCTCCAGGTCACATATTTGGGGGGAATACCCCTCCACCCAGCCCTTCTACTGTTTGAACTGTCCCTACCCTCCAACACTGCCCTTGCCTGGGGCCCCACCGGTACTTACTCAGTCGCCTCAAGTACAAAACTGCATCCTCGTACCCTCGGTAGTAGTAATCGTGCAGGATCTGGGGGCAGGGGCACGGGGAGAATAACCAAGGCTGCAGTGATGAAGGGAGCCACAGTTCCCCCGACCCAGGGCTGCTACTCCCATTGCTCTTGAACTTTATTTGATGGACTTTTCAAAACGTACCCATCCAGTGTCCCATCCCTCACTATCTGCTAAGAAGAATTGGGGAGCAATTCCTGGTCACATGCCCCAGTGATGCTGCGTTCATGAGTGACACTATTCATGGTGGATCCTCAGCCTCCCCTGGGCGGGAAAGTGTTGGGTGCTCGTGGCAGAACCAGACAAGGTGCATCGGGGCCATATGAAGAGCAAAGTTTGGAGCCTGAGTTCAGGTCTCTGGGCTGCCCCTTATTGGCTGTGTTGCTCTCACCTCTCACAGCCTCAATGTCTTCATCTACAAAATGGGGACAGCAATAATATTGGTCACCGAGGATGCTAGAGGATTACATGAGATATTGCCCACAAAGCCTTTTCTGTAAAGGGCCAGATAGTAAATACTTATTTTGGGCTTTGCTGGCCACACGCAGTCTCTGCCTAATGTTCTTTTTCTTTTTCTTCTTTTTTTCCCCCATAACTCTCTAAAAATGGAAACCCCTTTCTTAGCTCACAGGCTGTACAAAAACAAGCCATAGACTGCAGCCGTGGGCTGCAGTTTGCCGACCCTTGCTTTGGTACATGAACTGTCTGAGTGGAAGGGTTCAGTTAATATTTCTATCAGCACTTCTGACATCATCTCACTTTACAGGGGAGAATATTGAAGCTGGAAGAGCTTAAGGCACTTGTTCAAGGTCACATAGCTAGTTAGAAGCAAGGCCAGTAGGCAGGTCTAGGAGGAAGTTTAAGGGATCATTTGAGGGGAGGAGACTCAGATGGAACTTGAGTGGGCCCCAGTGGCTCTCTAACCCCACCCCTAGTCCCTGGTACCTTCCCCTACTCCCCAGACCCCTCCTGCCTCTCACCACCAGGTCCGGGGGGAACAATGCGTGGGTCATCCTGGCGATGTTTTCCAGGGAGAACTGGAAGGAGCAGTTGAACATGCGAAAGTCGTGGAAGATGGCGGGGCAGTCCCGGGGACAGATGTCCTGCTGCCCACTGAAGGTGGAGATGGTGATGGCGTCGGTCCAGAAGGCGCAGGGCTGCATGCCTGTGAAGCCCCCATCAATGTACCTCTGTGTGGGGCAGAGTGAGAAATGCTCACCTGGGGCCAGAGTTCTCAGCCCCACTCAGAGTACCTCGGAACGGCCCATGGGACATGGTACCAGCTTTAAGGGCCCATCAAGGAAGGTCCAGAAGACCCTTTAGGATAAGCCTGGAGATGGAGGTCCTGGTGGGTGTGTGGTGTGCCCCTGGTCACTTGGTGAGTCCGCACTGGCCTCTGGACTCCCAGCCTGGTGTTCTGTCCTGCACTGATCCTCCCTCCACTATCTTAGTGGTGCTGAGACTGGGGCTCCCAGGGCTCTGTGTGCAGGGGACCCATACTCTGGGTAAAGCAGGAGACGTGCCCCTCTGCCACAGCCCCACCACCCGTTCACCCACGAGCCCCGTCCATTCTGGGGCTCCTGTTTTCTCACCTATGAATGAAGGATGACAAATACTGAGGCTCTAACTCTCAGGCTGGCTGACGTGCAACACGGGCTCCATCTACTACCTGAATCCTAGTCTCTGGTCCTAACTTTCTCTGCATATAAAATGAGGAAGGGGCATGAGCTAGACCATCACTACTCAGAGTGTGGCCCACCCACCAGCAGCATAGGCAGCACCTGAGGCTGGTTAGGGGCGGATCCTCAGGCCCTGCCGCAGATCGCCTGGATCAGAACTTGTGTGGTTTTACGAGACCCCGAGTGATTCACGGGCACATTAAAGTCTGTAAGGCCCCGGCCTCGAGGGCCTCAGAAAACATCCTCATCATTTGAGGTTCCAGGTCCCAGCGCTTCAGGGTCCACCTCCTCTGTTCCGAGAAGTCTGGGAAAGCCTGCCAAGCCTGTGGAGCCTTGATTTGCCGGGCTCGGCAGTGGGTAGGCGGATCCAGAGAGGAGCCCACCCCAGCTGGAGAAGTTCATCTTAAAGACCCAGAAAGCCATCTACATTGGGAATTCTGAGTGACAACACGAGAAATTCTCCAACTCTAGGTCCTCCCACTGCATTCTGAGACCACCCTCCTGCTCCCCCAGGCGTGAGTCACAGGGACCCGAGGTCCCCTGGATCCCAGTTCACCCCTCACCGTGCTGGAGCACTCACCACACCGCGGTAAGTCGGGGGGATGAGGCCGCAGTAAACGGGGACGAAGCAGCTGCAGTATAGGGCCTGTATGGAGAGAACAGGGCTGAGATGCCGCAGGCCCGGGGGCGGGGTAGGGACGGCTCGTCTGTCAGCCGCTGGGCCATCCACCACCAGCCTGGACCTCCTTAAATCCTAAGTGAAGGTGCCGCATTGGGAAGCAAAGCTCCGAGTTCAATTCCTGGCCTGGTCCTCAGTAATGGGGTCCTTGGTAACCTACTTGGTCCCTCTGGCCCTGACATCCCAGCATTAAAGCGGGAGGGGGTCCTCAATAGCTTCAGGGTTCCTTCTGATGCTGAACTTTCATGAATCCAGTGGGATTCAACAACCACTAATGTGTGTCAGCAAAGGAGGCTGAGAGGCCCACCCTTGGGAATGCCCTACGAGGGGGAGTGAGCAAGTGGGTGATGGTGGAGTGGGGTGACAGGGGCTTGGTGGAGGTGAGCATGGGCACCGTGGCTCCACAAGAGGGGTGCAGGCAGGGTGGGAGGGGATGAAGGCAAGTGCCCTGGCAGGAGGGACTGGGTTTCAGCAGCAGGCAAAGCAGTGTGGGAAGGAGGGAGGGGATCCCAGGCAGAGGGAGCAGCAGGTGCGAAGGCCCAGAGGTCTGGCTTGTGTGTGGTTTGCTAGGGTTGGCAAGGTAGGAATGGAAGGTGGGGGAGAGGGCCGGGGAGAGAAAACTGCAGCAGTGGGCAATGAAGTCGGAACGGGGGTGGGCGTGAGGAGGCAGATCTGGAAGAGCCGGCTGCTGATAAACCCAGGGGGCCGTGAGGAGTGGAAGAGGTGTCCGTACACACTGCCTATTAATCCCTCATCCCTAGGATTACTGCCAGGCCAGTATGGGATGCAGATGGGGAGGCAAAGGCCCTGTATGTGGGGAAGGAAGGAGAGTGGAGATGTGGGGTGGAGGCCATGCAGCTTGACCCTTTGTCCCGAAAGACAATGGGACCTATCTGCAGCCCTCTCCAGCAATCATTGTTCGTAACTAAAGTTCATATTAATGAGCTTAGGGCAGTGCACTTGTGATTAGCATGCACTTTTCTAAGTGATAACTGATTTGGTAGCAATTCAATCCCTTATCAAGGGCCACTGGAAGTGAGGGGGCAGAAAGGGGACATGGGGGCCCATCTCCCCTGACTGTTCTCACAAACTGGGAGTAATTCAGGGAGGACGCAGGGCAGCCCAGCCTGGAAGGCCTGAAAGAGCCCCGGGCCCTCTGCAGGTCACACCTGGGCCTCTGTGAAGCTCTAGGCTTAGCACAGAGGGCCGAGCAGAACAGATGTGAAGGCCGAAGCATTGAGGGTGGTGGTCAAGCCTGGTATGTCCTGGGCTTCTATGTCCATCTCATCTAACACTGCACCTTGCACAGGGAGACACTGGGGGCCTGAAGCAAGGGAAGGACTAGGGAAGTGAGGCAGATGGGTGAGGCATCGGGCTGGGTGGTGGAGAGAGAGCAGGAGCAGCCCTCCCACGCCCCCTCTTTGGCCCTCCCTCCCTCCCAGCCCCCTTGCCTCAATGAGCTCCTCCTTGGACGTGAACTCTGAAACCACCACACTCTCCCCATCCGTGAAGCGGGTGAGGCTCACATGGAGCTTTCCCGTGGTGACCTTGTAGGAGTCCTCAGGCAGGACCCGGTACAGAAACTGCCTCATCATCTGCACCATCTTGCAGGACGGGGACAAGGGCCCCAGGAAGGATTTCTTCACCTCAGCCACACCCACATTGAGGACTCTGAGGTACTCATCTGCAAAGGAAGCAGAGAAGAGGGGGTGGTCGGCGCCACCCAGTGGCCAGGGGCCAAGGGAGGTCTAGGGTGGTTTCTCCAACTCATCCAACAAATGGGGAAACCTAGAATTCGGGAGCTGGGAAAGCCCCAGGAATCGGCCTGCTGTCCCGAACATGAGGAAAGCAAGACACTGAGGAAGGAAGTCACTGGCTCCAGAGAGCCCAGAGCTAGGCGATGGTGGAGCTGGACCCAGGCGTCCTGACCTTTGTCCAGGAGTCGCTACGTGACAGACACCTTCTTATCAACAGCTAAAGGAACACTTTACCCCAACCCCAAATAGCTTTCTGCAACTTCTTGTCACTCTGCCTGGAAGTTCACTGCCAGACCACAGTTCTGGGATCCTGTATGAGATTCCTATGAAAACACTGGTGCAGTTGGAAGCTGTTCCCAAGTGATGCCCTGGGATACTTGCTTTGTGCCCACTGAGTCTGTGGGCAGGGAGGGGGTGCTGGCCTTGGGCCGGTGAATCGCGTGGAGGAGGTGAACTTTGTCTTGAAACCATTGCGTCACCTTTCCTTTATGGCCCTGGTCCAGGTCTGAGAGGGAAATGACCCTGAGATATGGGTCATTTATGAGTATGTAAAGTTCGCCTGTGCCATGTGCTCAGAGGGCAGATGTGCTATTCAGGGTGGCAGAAGAGGGTGTAATGTTCCCCACCCCAAGTCCCCAGAATCCCACCAAGGAAGTCTGTGTTGTCAGCTTAATAAGAAGTGATAACTTGCTTAATTCCCACAACAATACTGGGAGATAGGTATTTCTATCTTCCTTTTACTGATCAGGAAACTGAGGCTCAGATAGGTAATATAACTTTCCCAGGGTCAGCGTCAGCCAGTTAGTAAGTGGATAAAGTTAGCATTTCAACCTAGGTTGTGTGACCCCAGAGCCTGGGCTCCTTCTACTACGCTAAGCCAAAAGCTTCTTCTGGAGCTGAGCCCACACCTGCTTTTTGCTGACCACTGCTCATCTCTACCCTGTGCAAGCCTTTGGGAAAATCAGGAGTAAAGGTAGCTCTGGAAAGGATTGCTAAGTTTTTTAAACAAACATTTATTTGTAAAACATGCTATAATACGCTATAGTGAAGAACTTTCTTATAGTTAGTGTCATGTAGCAATGGCTACAAGGGAAGCTGTGTGGTCATGAGTTTTCTGCCATGGGAGGTAACCAGGCAGAGGCTGGATAAGTACCTCTGTCAGAGAGTTTATCAAAAAGATTCCTGCATGAGTGGTAGGGCTGAGATTCCTTCCAGTTTTGAGATTCTGGGATTCTCACAGGCACCTCGCAATACATCTGGGAAGTAATCAGTGTGCCTTACTCGCCTATTTATAAACAGAGCAGCTGAGACACAGAGCGGTTAAGTGATTTGCCCAAAGTCACATGGCAATTTGGGGACAAGCCAAAACTAAGGATGCCCTACTGCTCTTGTATTTTACAGTTTACAGATTATTCACCCCAGTCCTGGAGGTAAGATAAGAAGCTTCAGCACCATTTTACAGATGCAGAAACTCACACAGAGAAAAGCTAAGTGTCTTGCCTGAGGTCAGGCAGCCAGGCAGTGATTTTTCTGACTCCATACCCCACCTTCTTTCCCTGGGGTTTGGACTGATCTCAGGAATGAAGAGGCTGAGCAAGCCTGGGTTGCCATGGTGACAGCCTTTTTTTTTTTTCAACCTTCGGAATTACACCTGCTTATGTGTAGTAGGGACCGCCCTGAGCAATGGAGCATCATAGCTATTACCCTCCTACAGGGGAGGGTGCTCCTGGGAGGCAGAAAGTCCCTACAATTTTAATAAGGTTAGACTTACCATGTGCCAACAATGGTAAACAGTGTCTGCCCTCAAGCGAGGGCAGAGGCTAACCCACTCACAGGTGATGCAGCAACTGCTCATTTGGATACCAAGGTGTTGGATCACTGAGGTCTCGCCCATAAGACCAGCCGGGATGGGGAGTCAAGCCAGGGCAGGGAATTCTTAGTGAGCAGCTTAACACCTAGCAAGGGTCAATGACTTTTCCCATGATGCCTGGGAGCCAGGAACGCCTGATTTCCCACCAGAAGCCACCCCTGGGAGGGAAGCAAGGAAATCTGTTCTTATTACAAAACTCAGACATGCTCATTATGGAAAAACTTTTAAAAATGCAGATAAGCAGAAAAAAATTAAAATGTCTTAGAATCCCTCCTCCTAGTGACTAATATTTGGTCTGTCTCCTTAAACTATATATTTTATTTTTATTCATACTTATAAAGGGTCATACAATACATACTATTTGTAATTTGCTTCTTTCACCTAATCTGTTGTGAATGTTTTTCCAGGTCAACAAATATTCATTTATAACCTAATTTGTTTTTTCAAATAAGGTTTTGTTCTGTCACCCAAGCTGGACACCATGATAGCTCACTGCACCCTGGAATGCCAGGCTCAAGCAATCCTCTCACCTCAGCCTCCTGAGTAGCTGAGATTACAGGCATGTGCCACCATACCCAGCTAACTTTTTTATTTTTGTAAAAATAGGGTCTCATTTTGTTGCCCAGGCTGGTCTTGAACTCCTGGTCTCAAGCAATCCTTCCACTTTGGTCTCCCAAAGTGCTGGGATTATAGGCATGAACCACTGCACCCAGCCTATACTCTAATACTAAAAGCAGTATGGAAAACTGTTGTAAGGTTATACCATTATTTATTGATCAGGAAACCAAGAGTGGTTGGCTATTTAGTTTGTTTCATTGCTTTTCTAAATAAATGATGCAATGAACAATCTCATGCTAACTTCTTTATCCATATACTTATTTTCCTTAGGATAAATTCCTAGAAGTGAGAATGCTAGGTCAAAGGCATGCATATTTAAAGTCTTATAATGTTTACTTTAATGGTGGCTTTAGTATATTATTCATCTACAGTCAACTCACCTATTCAGTCGTGGGAGTGGGTGACAGGAACAAAACATGGGACAAAATAATGGAAACAGTGTCGACATTCCAAAGTACTGACATCTGAAAATGGTGCTATCTGGAAATTAGCAATGCTCTAGCCAGTCATGTAGCCTGGGAGGAAGAGGGCAGGAAGTTGTCTGATTCTCTCAGTCTAGCTCTGCTGCTGCTGGCTGAAGCCACACACCAAAAGATACTGTTAGCTCTGCATCTTCTTAGTTCTCTCCAGGTGTGTGTGTCGGGGGGGTGGGTGTGTATGTGTGCGTGTTCCTGTCTGTCTTCAAAGTCTCTGACTGTCTTTCTCTGTGTCTCTCTTTGTCTCTGTCTCTGTCTATCTCTCTCCTTTCTCTCTCGCCCAGCAACTAATCTGGTTAAACAAATCTATGCTGGTAGAAAGTTAAGTGTTAAGCACAGCAATTGCTGGGTGCTGAGAGAGGGGATAAATTTAGCTTACTTCTTTATGTATTACCATATTTTCCAGCACCTTCTCCCATTTAAAGGCCTCCTTCCGAGCTGCATGCTGCCAGGCTCTGAGACACAGTGTCCCATACTAACCACAGCAAGGTTATTAGAAGCAGCACTGCAGACCCAATGTGTCCTGATCAGGGTACTCAAGGTTGACTGTTCCCACCCCTCAGCCCACCCTAGGCACATCCACTTCTGCTCAGAGGAGGGGTTTCTCTGAGGGCAAATCTGGTTCTCCTCCTCCTCTCACAATAGCCTATCACTGAGCTTTGCCCATAGGAAGGTCTTCAGAAACCTCCCCTGAGGGCTGGAAATGCCTCCAGGGCAGAGATGGGCCATAATCTATGCCCATCAAGCCTCTCAGTATGTGAACAAAGGAATACAAAAACCTGAGAGCAATGGAGATGCCCCCAAGGAAGAGCTACTTGACTTAATTACCCAATAAAAGCTTGAAGGCAAGATCATCCCAGATAGATGGGTAGACAGCAGAGTTAACAATATTGATTAGTGTGGTCAGCTCACCAGGTTTTATGAGTCTAATGTGCCAAGAAAAATAAGTAAATAAGATGCTGGGTCAATGCTGGGTGTGGTGGTTCATGCCTGTAATCCCAGCACATTGGGAAGATGAGATGGGAGGATCGCTTGAGCCCAGGAGTTTGAGACCAGCTCTGGCAACATAGCAAGACCCCTGTCTCTACAAAAAAAAAAAAAAAAAAAAAAAGCCAGGCATGGTGGCATGCTGCTGTCGTCCCAGCTACTTAGGAAGCTGAGGTAGGAAGATCACTTGAGTCCGGGAGGTCAAGTCTGCAGTGAGCCATGATTGCACCACTGCACTTCAGCCTGGATGACAAAGTGAGACCCTGCCTCTAAAAAATAAAATGTAAAAAGATGTTGAGACCGGGAGATTTTTGAAGGGCACTTGGAAGCTATATTTCCAAGTTTCAGCCACTCGGACAGTCTTTCTTTTTTTAATTTGATTTAAATTTTTTTTTAGAGACAGGGTCTCACTCTGTTGCCCAGGCTCCTCAAAGCATCCTCCCACCTCAGCCTCCTGAGTAGCTGGAACTACAGGCATGTGCCACCATACCGGATAATTCTTTTTATTCTGTAGAAACAGGGTCTCTAGCCCTGTTGCTCAGGCTGGTCTCAAACTCCCTGGCTCAAGCAATCCTCCCACCTCAGCCTCCCAAAGTGCGGGGGTTACAGGCGTGAGCCACTGTGCCCAGCTGATCAAAGAGTCTTTCCGTGACCACATCCATTTCTTGGAAAGAGCTTAGGCTTTGGAGCCAGGCAGATTTGGTTCAAATCCCAGCTTCACCACATGCTATCCAGATCATCACTGGCCACTTAAATAACATCTTTCATCCTCAACTTTGTTGCCTGTAAAATTAGTCTAAGAACACCTACCTTACTGGATTATGAAGAGGCAGACAGCTTTTAAAGTACCTGCACACAGTAAATGCTCAAACATTGGGTATGGCAATCATTCCTTATGTGACAAGGCGTTTGGATGTTTCGGACTCTCAGCCTACTCATCTGAACAGAAGACAGTGATCCCGGCCCCCACATCCTTATCAAGCTGTGGTCAGGCTCAAGTGTGGAATCAAAAGAGCAAAATACGAGCGTGGAGCGAGAGAGTGCGCCCCAGTTTCAGAATAGTGTAGGCCTGACTGGGAGAACACTCCCTCTCCTGTCAACTTGGGGGATCCTACAGATATAGTAGGGGGAAAGAGGGGCTAGAAAAATCATCAAAGGGGAAGAAAAAGGATAATTGTACATGCGTTTATTTGTTTAGGTGGATAATGTTCCCCCCTACACGAGGGCAAGGATGGTCTCTGTCTTGTTCATTCCTTTGTCCCTAGCACTCAATATAGTGCCTGGAATACGGTCGGCACTTAAGAAACATGCAGGCAGGCATGAATAATGGATAAATGAACGAACTCCAGAACCTGAAGCGGGATACTGAGGCCCAGAGAGAGAAGTCGCTATTCAGGATGACCCAGAGGATGAAAACAGAAGGCTTTTCTTCCCCATCTCCACGTGGCCTCTTGCTAAATGAAAAATCATAGAAAGACGGGCTCTTGGGGCTGATAATTTAAGCTGCTGAGGATGCCGTTCACAGGGGGCCGGAATTAGGTCTGCAGTGAGGGATGGATCAGCCACAGAGGACGGGACTGCGGGGCCCCAGGCTCAGGGCGCACTGGTAGCCTAGCAACAACCTCCGGTTCAGCCAATCACTGCGAGGCGCCGCCGCAGGCCCTGCTCCCAGAGCAGCGTGCGTGGTGGGCGCGCGGGGAGCGGGGGGCGCAGCAGCCCCTGGGGAGGCGCCGACAAATGCTCAGAATCCCAGCATGGAGCACCTGAGAACTGGCTGCTCCTATCTGGTCCCTCATTGCAGACTGAATTGTAATCTGCATTTTCCTGTGGGTATATCTTGAATACCCGACCCCAACGTAATAATAATAATTGTTATCATCTTAACAACAATCGTTTCCCTAAGCAGGCTTTCCCACCTATTATCTCAGTTTACTTTCACAGTGACAGCCAGCCTCCGAGCAGCAGTGACCCTGGTTTATTTACCATTTTATTTCTGTGCCCTACACTGCAGGGGTATTGATTGAAAAACAGTTTGGCTTGAAGCTACAGTGCCACTACTGGAAGGTTTACAGAGACCCTTTGGGGCAGTGAGTTTTCAGTTAGGGAGCCTTTGTTCAAAAGAAATCTTAAGTGGAAACCCAATATATAAAACAACAAAAAATGTGGCTGTTCTGGGTTGAGGCTGTTCTGAGACTCTGTCCCATCACCCCACCCTCCCTAGGAAGGTAGCCCCCAAAACACTGCCCTGAGACTCCTAAGATTCTGGGATCCTAGGTCAGAAATAGGAGTCCCAATGAATTCTCACATTTTACAGGTAAGAAATCCTGCCCAGGAAAAAGGTGAGGCTCAATAAATATCGGCCAGATGGATGGATGAGTGGATGGATGTTTGGATGGTTGGTTAGATGGA